TGATGGGAAAAGGTTGATCCTGCTGTTGCCACTCAGTCCCAGGCCTCAGGGACCCACGTTCACACCTGTGACAATCTCATCACAAGGCCGACGATGCCTTGTCCAGACCCTCCCTGAGTCTTGCAAGTACCTTTGTGTCCTGCCATCATGTGACCCTACTACAGTTCAAGCTTATGCTTGAGAGAAAGCGGCCCTTAGCTCACACACGAATTATGCATGTTACCCATGAAAGCCCTTTGGATGCCAAATTGTGTAAATTAATAAGATTTTAGAATAGGAAGCACCAAAGGGATTTCTTAGCTCTGTTGCTGTTACCTTGGGCAATAATAATAATAAACAGAGATAGAAGGTTTTAGTCCACTTGTGCTAAGCTTCACACTGTCATCTCCTTGACTCCTCACAGCAGCCCCACAAAGTAGGTTTTTCAAACACGGGAATTGACGGAGAAAGCCAAAATGATGTTTTCTCCAAACATGGTCTGTGCCGTTTTGATTGGATATGCTTAGCCCTACATTCCTCCCATGGGGAGGTAGGTTGCTCAATAGACCCTCTGTAGGGCTCCCACTGCCACTAGCCCTATAATAGCCACTTAGGACAGCCAGTGCGGGAGACCCGGAACTTCCTGCTTTCCCGAAGCTCCTGCTCTGCCCTTGGTCCCATCTCCATAAGTGAACATTTGGAACGCCACTCCCATCCTCCGCAGCATGGAAACTGCCCTGGCATCTCTGGACGGGGTGCTTTGGGTACCAGTTCTGCTCAGGGGATAATCCAGAATTTGAGGCAAGGCTCTTCGGAGTTCAGGGTTAGAGATGTAGCTCCGTGGTAGAGGGCTTGCCTAGCTTGCACAAGGCCCTGGGGAGGAGAATATTGCTAAGACCTTCTGCCACTTCTCAGATGCATCGTTAACGGTGAGGAGAATATTGCTAAGACCTTCTGCCACTTCTCAGATGCATCGTTAAACGGTGATTTTGTTAAAACTTATCCAGGGCGAGGTGGGAACCTGTTTTAGGAGCTAGCGCCCTGAAGAAAGCAGTCCCGAACTGTCTACCTCTTACCCATGGCCACAGACACTTTTGGTTTTCCAGTTTGGCTCCTCTACTTCCTCCCCAGGGACAGCTGTCATATTCTAAATTATGTATTTCCTCTGCCGTAGCCAGAGCCAACGGTGAGGCATCCTTAGTCTGTGTTCTCTTCAGCATCCCCCTGCCTCAAGCAGCGGCCCCTAGCCCCCTCACCTGTCTAAGGAGTCTGCACAGCTGTTGGGACCTCCTGGGAAAACTGGTCTCACTTCTCAAACAGCTGTCTTAAGTCAGGTTCCAGTTTTGGATGCCAGGAGCTCAGGGCTTATCCTGTTCTTTTTGAAATGAACTTGCATCAACTTCTGTCAAAGCAGACCATTTCTGTTTGATCCTGGAAATGTGTCCCTTTGGTGATTAGCTTCACCTCCTCTCTGGAGCCTCCATTCTGATGTGAACCCCCGGTTCCTCTAGCTCCAATGATATGCCGCCCAGCTTTCTTCCAGCCTCACCCAGAAGTCAGAGTTGTGCATTTCCTATGAAACGCTGAGCCCTGCCACCCCAGGCAGGCCTGAGCAGCCTGGGCCAGCCAGGGTGGCAGATGGTAATGTTTCCAAACTCGTGTAGGACATGTTTCCTACATTCTGGGTAACAGTTTCTTCTTTTGGTGGCTTATTTTCCAGTGTTTGGATTCAGGGAAGCAGCGTGAAATTAGCCAAGACTGTTTGAACCAGCTATAGAAACTACTTGTAAGGAGAGGCAGGGTGTGCTGGGGGAGGGAACGGAAGAATGTGTGACCAGGCAAACCTAGAAAAGTCTGTTCGTGTGGGGATTGAAAAAGGAGCCCCCAAATCATGTCTCCTGCAGCTATGAGGAGCTTTATTCAGAGTTCTCTTCATCCTTTGAGGGATCCACGACCCATCCCGCGTCATAGAAATAGTAGTGTCCTCCACACCCACATCTCTTCCAAACGACTATGGGGAAAGGAGACAGAAAGACCCTTGACGTCCCAGTCAACCAGACAAGAAGCGATGCCTTTTCAGTGTTTACAAAAAGCAGAGGCCCTCATGACTTCCTACCACTCATGGCTCCTCTGTCTACATTGTGGGCCAGAAACTTCCAGAAGGTTTGATTCTGTTGATAAGTGTGGGGTCAGGGCAACCTGTGTTTCTTTGGAGCTCCTCCAGGCATGATTGGAACACACTGTTCTGAAAAGGATTGACCACAAGAATTCGGTTGCCTACTCTATCCTCAGGAGGCCCCTTGTCCTGTGAGGTAGAAGAGGTGACTGAGTATACAGCTGTGCCCAGACTTGACTTTTTTTTTAACTTTGTTATTAGCCAAGCTGTGGTGGCACTCACCTTTAATATCAATGCTTGGGAGGCAGAGGCAGGTGGATCTCTTTGAATTTGAGGGCAGCCTGGTCTACAGAGCTAGTTCCAGCTGAGTTACACAAGAAACTTGTCTCAAAAAATACTCAAAACAACAACAAAGTACGTTACTGTTTTACTTGTTATTTGCATACGTGTGCACACGTAGAAGTCAGTGAACAACCTTCAGGAGTTTGTTTCCACACTGTTGAGGGTGCGAAGACCTTCTTGTTCTGACCTACTGCAGACTAACTGGCCCACGGACTCCACCACGTCCAGCTCATACATGGGATCAGAGACACAAACTCAGGTTATCAGCACTGTTTTGCCCCATTGAGCCATTCTGCCCGCCAGTGACGTGACATCTGTCGCCAAAGGTCCTCAACTTTGACTCTATCCTGAGAAGCTTTTAAAGGCCCTGAGTCAGTCATGATCCCCATGGGTATCGGCTTTTGTAGACTCTATAAACCAGGCAGTACCTCATGGTTCAACAAGAGTTGAAAATCAACGTGTTTGAGCAGAGCCGGGCATTCCTGTATACTGCTCCCTCTGTTGCCTTTACCTTGTTCCTCAGAGTATATGAGTTTCCATCCTGGGGCTGGAGGACTGGAGGGGTCAGGCTGCTGAACTGGCAGGTACTGCTGTCCTTAGCTACACTTGACTCATAGGAGCAACTCCCAGCCCTCCCTCACACACCATGACAACATATCCTGGTCAGCTAGAGTTTGGGAAGACTTGGAGCTGGAGCCTAAGTGGGCCATGTGACTGAATCCTGTCCTAGAAGAGATTGTCATCCAGCAAGAGAAATAAGATATGCATATAAAAATAGTTGTACTTGATAAGTAAGCAGGAAAAAGTAGGTGTGGCATCATAATTAAAAAAATTAGGACGTGGGGCTGGAGAGATGGCTCAGAGGTTAAGAGCACTGACTGCTCTTCCAGAGGTCCTGAGTTCAATTCCCAGCAACCACATGGTGGCTCACAACCATCTGTAATGAGATCTGGCGCCCTCTTCAGGTATGTGCAAACATACATGGAGGTAGGATGTTGTATTCATAACAAATTAATAAATCTTTAAAAAAATTAGGACGCTATTGACTTACTATTTGCGGTGATGTCATGACTCCCAAAAGTCTATCTAAGTGTGTCAATCACTGTCAGTGATGTGGTGATATCTTTCACTTAGACAAGTCACTAACCTCAAAGTTTTGTTACCATCAACCCCAGAGGACTTAGGATTGTCCTCATAGATAGACAGGCTGTGCAAGGCTAAGGGACTATGAAGGTCACTTTGCCAGTCAGCCTGCCTTGCACTTAGAGGAATAGTGTGCCCTGCCCAAGTCACACAACAAGCAAAGGGGGGGTGTCAGCCAGGCTCTGACCCCATCCACCAAGAATTCTACATGATAGTCTGTCCTCACCCAGAATCCCTCAACAGCCTTGTTCTAATCCTGGCATCTTCTCTAGGACTGGAAGGTTCCCAGGCAGGAGGAACGTGGGACATTTCTGTTCACAGATAGCCAGCCTGTAGCGCCCATTCCTCCCTTTCTGCTGGATTCCTTGCTAATATATCATGTGCATTTGGGCGGTTGTCATCATTAGAGGTAAACAGAATACATGCTAGTTCGTTGAGTGGCAGAAATTTAGCTTTAACACAGCAACCGGAAAGAAAAGGCTGGGTGAAGGGTTACAGGTCACACTACTCCCCATAAGGAACTCAGGTAGGTCCCGACATCCTTGTGGCCACATAACCATGACCTCTGCTGTGGGGAATGCAGAACAGGCCCTGTCTAGGGAGAGTTCTTTCCTGTATACCTTGGGACTGGTGGCTGGAGAGAGAGATTTGACAATACTCCGTTACACTGGCTCACTCCCAGACATTGGGAAGAACTGAAGGGCTGAGGTGACAATCAGGTGACAATGCCTGGACTGCCACCTACACACACAGCGGCTCTCTTTGCAGCCACCTCTGGTAAAGCCTCTTAGTTCACATCAGCGGCTCAGGAAACCTCCATCCCTGGAAGAGTATTCCATCTCCAGCAGAAGCCTTTATCTGAGCTGAAGAATAATGCATTTCCTTTTTGGGCAAGATTTTTTTTGGTTTTGTTTTGTTTTGTTTTGATTCTCCCTCTTTCTCTCCGGCTTCTTGTCCAAACTGCTTAACTCTAGAAAATAGGCCTTTTGTTAACAAATCTTGCTGACCATACTCTCTCCCTCCAACCAAGCTCTTCTGCCGCTCCCAAGGAAACCTCCTATGTTATATCTGGGGTAAGAAAGCACAAAGAACCTTCCTCTCCCCCGCTGCTTCTTCCTCCCTAGTACCCCAAGCCCTGCTCTGGGCCTGCAGCAGGAGGCTGGGTGGACAGAGGTTGGGACAAGGAGAAATAACCTGACTTCTTCCTTATTTTCCTTCAGCACTTTCCACCAGCACCATCTTCAGAAATCTAGAGCCTGCATGGAAGAGCTGGGGAGAGGACTAGGTGGGGAGTCCCGTCCCGGGCTCCCTCTGGGAAGGGAGCAGCAAGGTCTTCATGGGCGCTGGGACACTCAGTTCCCAGCCTGGGAGAACCGTGTACAATTATTTCACCTGGATCTTTCTTTTTCCCCTTCAACAGCCCTATTACCATATTTAAATGCAAGTATGTCTCTTTTCGTTGGCATTTTAAGTAGCTTAGCGTGACCTTTTTAGAGTAGCTCTTTCCCTTTTGAACGTCTTGCCCTCCGTAGAACCACGTAGCTTGGACCATAGTCTTAGAGTTTAGTGAGCTTCTAGTTCGCTCTGTGTGGAGGGCGTTCCTCCGTTCTTTGCCTCTCTGCTCCCTGCTCTTCCGGTGCATGTCTTCTTGTTCCCTCGTCCTGTAGAAGTGCCTCACCGGACAGGCTCTGTGGCTAAAGTCAAGCAGCTCCTTTGGGAGCATTTGGTGGATTCGCAGGGGCTTCTGGCGCACCATTTAAAGAGTAGTCCTGGAAGTGGGTCTTGGTGTCGGGCTGCACATGTCTACCTGGTAGCAAGAAGATATCTGTCTTTGTGTATGTGGAAGTATGTCTGTTTGTGCTCCAGTGTGTGACTTGTGTGTCAAGTTAGTGGTCAGAGAAGCCCAAGAGAGGGGAAGGACTCAGCCCGCCTCTTCTTTCGTGTGGACATTTTGCAGCCATGTGCTTGGCCTCACCTTCATCCTGCCTGACCTAGCATTGCTAGACAGTGCAAACCTTAACCAAAAGGATCCCTGGGTGGGGTTGGGGGGCTCTCTAAGCTGGCTTCATCTGAGGGTGGCCTCATACTCTGGAGTCACATCTCAGTTCTCTGTTATTGCCACGGGATAGGATACAGTCTGTGGTAGTCCACTTACCTGACATCTGCGAAGCCCTGGGTTCTGTCTCCAGCACCGCGGAGTGATGTAGGAATAATACAACTCTGGGAAGATGGAAACCCTGAGGAAGACATTCAGAACCATAGGGACCACCCCAGGGGAGTCCCTCAGCCGCCTGACACCGGCCCTCTGTGTATACTCACCCGGGAACACCCCAGCACTCAGCCCCGAGCCTGGGGCCGTAGCTCCTCTGACGAGAAGTTTTGACCAATGTAGAGCTCAGATGACCAGACCTTTGGAGAACTTTCAGGAGTAAAGCCATCTCTAGGCAGGCCATGGTGCCTTCTCCATGAAGAAGCCAGCCCTAGGTGTTTCCCGCCTTGGAGCCCCAGCTGACCCCACCACCAGGGTCCCTGTAAGGAATAGCAGGCCAGCTTGGGGCATCATCATGTGTCAGTGTGGGGTCAACAGAGACCTCAGCTCAATTCTGAAGACACAGGTCCTGCTCGTATTCAAGTTACTGCTATGTGCTTCCTAGAATGCACTTCTGGGATGACCAGTGTGTGGGATTCAAACATTTAAAGATACCATGCCTTCCAGAAGCCTGAGAGCCGCTGACCTGTATCCCCCAGCACTGTCTGTGAAGCTCTTCCCATCTGTCTTTTGTGTGACCTGGGGTCCTCTGTGGCTCCTTCTGACTCCACTCCTCCCTCTCTCCAGGCTTCCCAGCAGCAGCTTATGGACCAGTGGCGGCGGCGGCCGTGGCAGCAGCTCGAGGATCAGGTAGGAAGGTGTGCGGGGCAGGCGGCTCCCAGGCATGCCTCGTGTGCAGGGGAAGGTAAACAGCCCTGCCAATCTGTGTAGCTGCGTTTGTCCAGCACCCCTCTCACCACAGCCCAGGGGAGGGGGTGGGGACAGGGAGGCACCACCAAGACCCAGCCACCCAGAGCTGTTCTATAGGAGTCAGACACAGTTAGGGGACTGCAAACCCCAGGCAGAATTAACCAGAAGGAGAAACTGCCTTTCCCTTTGACTTTGGACCTTCCCATCTCCAAGTCCAGTTTCTGGGCATTCTGGTCACTGCTGTCCTTGGCTTTGGCAGGTTCAGAAGGTTCCCTTCCTTGGGTCTCTGATCCGACCAAAAAGATACTAAGTAGGTTCTCTCTCCAGCCAAACCTGGCAGGTGTGCTTTTTATTCTGGCTCAACCAACTCCCAGAGGGAGCCCTTGAAGCCAGATATGGACCAATCCTTGAGATCAGAAAAGGAGTAAAGCTGCTGTAGCCTGAATCCCTGTTGTCCCAGATCCCCTTCTAAGTCAGGCAGCCACCAAATTGGAGCGTTCTATCCCATGACCTTATCCTAGCCTTTAAAAAGATCTGGAAGCCTCCAGCGACCAGGGAACACTTCCCCAGCAATACCGTAAGGTCCAGCCAGAACTGGGGTGGGTCACCCCACCATGAGTGCCACGGGCTTTCTGCCATGCACGGGGCATCCCTGATGACAGCCTCAGCTCTTTTACTCTGCCCTGCCACCCCAACCACACCCCACGGGCAGGTCGCTGGAGCACTAACTGAATGTGGGCAGGATGGGGTGCTGGTGAAGGTACCAGAAAGTGGAGCGTTAAAAGCCCAGAGGGCAAATGCCAAAAACCCAAACTGGCACGGTGAGGCTCATTAGAATATGTCAGAGAAAATCCGTTCCATGCAAACTGGCACTGCCTCCGAGCTACAAAGGATCCTCTCCCCCAAGATACCCATTGGAGTTTTGGGGGGTCCGGGCAGGGAATTAATTGAGGGTGGGGGACTACGGAGGGACAGTTGGCCAGAGAGCTGGTGATTGGCAGGCTGGCTGGGAAGTCCAAATAGCTGGGCACTCTCAACTCCCATCCACTAGTCTCTAAAGGCACTGCCCTGCCCTCTGGCCCATGTCCCTCAGTGTCCCCCACTCACAGGCCCTAGGAAGGGTGCACAGTTGCATCATGTCTTCCTGTTTTTGGTTGTGGGGTTGTTAACTTGGGTGTTTTGGGGGGAATGAAAACAAGAAGCCTCATTCCTTCCTGTGCCCGGGAGGGGAGAAAGATCAAAAGAACAGTCTTGAAATTTGTGAGTGTTGTTGTTTGTTTTCTCTGTTCAGTTTCTTCCTTTTGATAACTTTTGGATTATGAAACTAAACTTTAACCCAAAATTAACCCTGACTCTCTCCCCACCCCACCCCGTTCCCCTTGACTTCATGGCAAGTTTAAAGGGCAGTATGGGATTCTTTGCAAGTCTGAGAGCTGCCTCCCAGTCTGTAACCCCTTCTGCCACCCCTGCCCTTGCACAGACCCCCTCCCAGAGCCAGGCGGGAGTCCCACTCACCCACCCCTCTAACTCCTAACCCTCAAGGTCATCTCCAACCACACATTTTGTTTCCAGGATCAGTGGTGTTTTATTTGTAGCCATTTCCATCGGGAGCCATATCTCCCACAGGCCATCAAGGTCAGCCATGCTCATCGCTGCACTGTTAGTGAATTGTATTCAGGAGTATGCTCCCCAAACCCCTGCCCACCCCAGCCTGGGTTAGTACAAAGAGTAAATCCTCAGCTTGAGGTACCCACCCAAGGGGAACCCCCCAGTGCTTGGGCTGTGCCCACTGTAGAGAGAACATGGTCTTATCTGCTCATGGAGACTACGTAGCCTAGCCCAGAACCCCACCTTTGGACCTGGACCAAGGCTATAAAGTTGGGGAAGGAAACTACCTTTTTCTTTTAACACATTTTGGCTCATAGGGAGACTGTAACCTTTTTCCCTCAAGAAGATGAGCTGAGCTCTGAGCCTGGAAGGTTGGCCAGTTAATTTATCTTGAGTGGCCCTTCATTGGCAAACACTCTGCTGTGAATTTGGGAAAGGCCACACATCAATGCAGGCACCCATAGGGTTCCAAGGCACTGATGATGCAGATTTCCCTGTACCAGCTCCTCAAGTCTTGCCCCACCCCACCTCCAGCTCTTCCCCCAAAGCTAAGGATGCTCCCCAGGCCTCCTGAGCAAGCAGCCTGCATCAGGGGTCCTCACAGACTCATTAGAACCTTCCTGGAGCCTGGGACCGTTCCACACCTGACAAGTGACTACAGACTCCAGGGAACGTGGTCTCCTTCCAGGGACTCCTGGACTTGGCTTAGGGATTAGACATCTTATGGAAGGCGACATTTTTGTCATTATTTTTATCTAGCCCCCACCGTTTTAGTTCTCAACCCACTCCACCCCCACCCCTTCGTTTTGACTTCCCTTCCGGTGCTGGGAAGCTCCTGTTGAGGGTCATGGGGGTGGGAGGTGGCTTGGCTCTTTCTCAGGGTGGCAACTTGTATCTGTCAGGGCTGTGGTACTGAGGTAGTCAAGGGGAGCCTTGAGCTTCTGCCCTCAGCCTGTTTCTCTGGGCTAGCCTGCCTACCTTTTCTTACTTCCCCCAGAGCCTGAGGTGAGCAGGGCACAGGTGTCCCGGCCAGGGATGCCTCTGCCGACTCCTAGATAACTTCACTATCAGTGGTCACTTTTCTTTCACGTTCACCTGGTAGTCTGAAACATCATCCTTTCTTGTGCTCAGTCAAGAGTTTGTTTATTTTGATCGTACTCATTCAGTCCCAGCGGCACCCCCCCCATCACGTCCCATCCAAACATAAATCTGGTTTGACAATTGACCGCCCCCCTCCCCAACCTGAGGACAGCAGTACCATTTTCAGGGTACTTTTTATTTTGGGGGTGACCACATGGGTGGGCCTGTGTATCACTCTTAGAACTTGCAGAGCACCCCCTGGTATCGCCCACCCACCCGTGCCCACCCTCAGGCCCCAGCCAGGACTCCTTACTGTACTTTATACTTGCCAGCTTTGTTCCAGTCTAGTGCCTTGAGCTCCTGATGGTGGTGGTGAGTGTGAGCAGTCATGTTTCTGTTGTCTTTTCTCTTGCTTGGTTGGGGCTGCGGTGAGAGAGTGTCTCTGAGGCATACTTTCCCGCCTCTCTTACACTAGGACCTGCACACCTCCTCTCAAACACTCTTCTGAACACGCTCAGCGGGAAGGTTTGTCCACACCTATTAATCCTCTCTCAGTGTCCAGCTTCCTGTTAGTACCAGCTGGTTTGCATGTTTTGCTTGTTCAGATGAAACAGTTCAAGAAACAAACTCATACCCAACTCTCGAGAAATGTCTTTTTTTGTACACTTTCGTTCTCTATTTTTTTTTTTTTATCGGTTACAACTCCAAACACCTGTTGTGTAGTAAAACATTTCACACCTCCCTTGCCTGTTCTTAGATTGTATGTATCTGTGGGACTGAACTAAATGCATGCACTGTAGTACATGTCCTGGTAGCTGTAGCTGTAGTTGTAGAACATGCATTGTTGAGTTGATATTACAGGGTCTCCGAAGGCGCGGCCCAACACTGCTGACTGAAAGATAGCATGGGGACTAGGAAAGAGAAGGGGTTCCATGTTTTCAATGTTGCCAAGGGGCTTGGATCCATGTTCTTGCCATCAGCCACCACCACCTCTCCTCACGATCCCCACTCTCCCAGTCTAGAACTGGGTCACCACCCTCAACTCTAGCCTGCCCCACCGAGATCTGTGTTCACCGTAGCAGAAGCGAGTGGAGCCAGGGTTGGAAGGAGTCATCCAGTTCTTCCAAGTTCTTATCTTCCCCACACTGTTCTTGACCCAAGTAACGGACCTTTTCTTGTTTTGTTTTTTAAGACTATCAGTCAGGCTTCTCTAAGCTCTGCTTCTCCTTGAACCCTTCAGGGACATAGGTCCCTATGAAATGGTCAGCCTGTGTCATCTGCTCCTGCGGGTAGGGGGAGGTAAGATGCAGACAGGGAGTTCATTTGTCCCTGGTTGATGTTAACATTGGCTCTTAGGAGTGGTGATGATGAAAGAGACCCATGGGGTGAGTGATGGCCAAGCGTCCCTATTGGTAAGGTGACTGGCACAGCTTTGCAGGGAAGAGAGAGGCCTGAGGGGCCTGTGACAGCCAAAGAAGAGGCCACCCAGTTTCCCTTTAGGTCTTCCTAGAGGGGTTTTCATGGGGGGGGAGACCCTTGTTTTCCACTTGGGGCATGTGTGGTCAACCCTCTTTGCACACACTGTCTTCTCTACATGTGTGACAAGCCATAAGGGGGGTCCAGAGACCTCAGAACTTTTGGTCTTAACATTCTAAGACTATATGAAGTGAGAATAGTACTTACTACCCAGACCTGCGTATCAAGGTGCATGTCATCTGACCAGGGTATGGAATAAAACCTATAGGATACAGGCTATCTCCCATGAGACACAGAATTTGGAAAAAGGTCACAGAATCCATAGCCATCATCAAAAGGCTGTGTCATGATAGATCGAAACAGAAGCCTCATGGGAGGAAAGAAAAGCTTCGATGCTCTGGCAGAGTTAGAACACATAGGAACTGAGCGTGCACCAGGGCAGACAGAATGAGGACACCAAGGCTCCAGGTGGAAAAATTCAGGAGGAGCCATCCTTCCAGCAAGGTCCCCCTGGGGACAGGGGAGGCAGGCAGAAGAAAATGGCTGAGACTAAGCTTTGATGCTGCTGCAGATGCAAACTGACCTGGGGTTTGGGAGTGGGGGCAGCAAATGGGAGCAGAACCAGAGGGTAGAACCCCAGGCTACTGCCCTGCGTCCTGCATCCTGGAATGGGTTTGCTGAGGAGGAGGCTATGGTGCCTGTAGTCTTGGAACCTCAGAGCTCTGTCCCAGAAGGCAGGTGGGCAGACTAGCACACCTATCCCGGGACCATGTAAC